GTTCTTCTGGGTCTCTGGGTTCTTCTGGGTCTTTGGGTTCTTCTGGGTCTCTGGGTTCTTCTGGGTCTTTGGGTTCTTCTGGGTCTCTGGGTTCTTCTGGTCAGCAGTTTGAAACGATCCCTGGACTCCCAGCTGTTCTTGTTGTTGTCATGACCTCTGACCTGTAGATGCTGTAGTGGGTTCTTCCTCCTGAGGTTATCATGGCCTCCACTGGAAGGTTTCAGCTGCTCCATGTGTGGGTTCTGGTTCTGTCTTGGTTCTGTGGAGCCCAAAGCCTCAGAAACGGCTGATTAACCTTTCAGATTGATCGATGTCGGTTTATTCCATCTGTATTTCTAGACCAGTCAGATTCAATGTCAGTTTTGCCTCAAGTCAAATGAAAACTGAAATTCAGTTTCTGTCTGTTCCACGGTGATGCAACAGAAAAACCACAACAATAAAAGATGAAAACATGGATGATGCTGCCGGTCACAGCAGATCCTTCATGAACTCACTGAGCTGCAGACAGCAGGATAGAAACTGGACACGTCAGCCATTTATGCAGATTGTTGTAATGATGTCATCATTTTTATAAACAGTTTCTGCTCCACAGCAGAATAAGAAGGTTATTTACTGTGATTCCTAGATAAGTAAAGAGATGCACTTGATGCTACATGAGCACCAAACTATAAATATTAATCTGTTGTTTTCATGTTTAGGAGTCCTGTAGGACCAGACTCTCCTTTATCTGCCCATAGTTATCCATCCTGTGGGAGCAACAGGTCAACAGACACCGACCTGGACTTTAATAATCAGCATCCAACTCCACCTGAGTAAGTTACCTCCAGTTACTGAAACGCTGTGATGCTTATCAGGAATTATAGAAACTGAACTTGTTCTGGTTTTAGGGTTAACAGGTGACAGCAGAGATACTTTAATATGTTGTACAGTTTAAGTCCAGACTTGATGTTCCTGAATGAATCACTACAAATTTAAAACACATAGGAGTTATAGAAGGACCTATGAGGAGCTCCTCCAACACCAGCAGGAGGTGATACGCCGCCAGGAGGTTCAACTACGCCGCCAGGAGNACTGAAGCTCCCCTCCTTTCCTCAGAACTGATCTGGATCAGAACCGGTTCAGCAGCATCTGAATCAGCCAATCAGCAGTGGAGTTTCCTCCCTCTGTGTCTCTGCTGGTTCCAGTAGAAACACTGATCTGGTTTCAGAGACGATCAACTGCTGGGATCTGATGGAAGCATTTGTGTTTGATCTGAGATGAAGATGATGATGATGGTATTGATCCTCCTGCTCGGTAAGGTCACCTTCCTCTCTCTGCTCCTCTTCCTCCTAATAATTCGAGATGTCTTCAATAACATTTTGACAGTCAAATATCTGAAATGACGTCACAGAATCTGTCATTTGACGGGATACACATCTGTAAAATCGTGGATTTAAAGGAATCCATGATTGATTGTAACAAC